TTTAAAACAGGGGTATCAAACTCAAGGCCTGGGGCTGGATCCGGCCCATGTGGCCGGCCTGGAAACAGCAAAGGACCAGCCTGTGGTGCCTCTGCCGATGAAAATGGAGCTCGGGGGGTGGGGGTTGCCCCCCCCCCGTTTTCAGCTGCACAGCCTCCTGCAGCCCTCTGCCAGAGGAAATGGACATGGGGGGGGGAGAGGGGGCGTAACGCTTCCCTGAGCTCAGTTTTCACTGGCAGAGGACTATCAAAACAAAACCAAAGCAGAAATGTTTCCCCTTTTGCATTTGAGCATCCAAGAAGGGACAGGAAAGGATGAAGGGAAAGAGGAAAGACAAAGAAGAAGAAGAAAAGATGGGAAGAGAGCAAGGAAGGAAAAATAAGGAAAGAGGGGAAGGAAGAAGAAAGGAGAATGAAGAGGGAAGGAAAAAGAAGAAAAGGAAGGAGATTATAATGAGAGTGGGGGAGGGTCTTAGGGAAGTCCTGCCTTAGCATGTGCCTCCCACACGTCCCATGTCACAGCCACCATGGCCACGCCCCCACACCCCCCCCCAGCCCTCTGAAGTCAAACAACCCTCATGCAGCCCTCAATGAAATCGAGTTTGACACCCCTGATCTAAAACGAAAGGGCTGCCAGGGGGCAACTCCCAAGCACCCACCTTACCTGGTTCACTTAGGGCAAAGCACCCCACTTTCTCCCCACTGGTGAAAGGAGTGATCCACTTCTGTTTCTGCTCTTCAGACCCAAACTTCAAAACTGGCCCTAGATACAGCGACTCAAGAAACAAAAGGTTCCCTGTAAATCTCCTTTGGGGACCCCCCACCTCTGACCATCCGGGGAGCAGGCGTGGCCCCTCCAGGCAGGGCAGTGCCACTGGGGTCGGGGTGGGGGGGTCGGCGAAGGGGCCGCCGGTGGGACCTACATTGTTGACACTCATGATGACACCGGTGGAGGCGCAGCCGCGGCTGATCTCCTCCGTGGCGACGGCGTAGGCCAAACAATCCAAGCCGGCTCCTCTGTATTTTTCGGGCACAGCCATTGCTAGAAGGCCAAGCGCCCCCATTTTCTTAATCTAGACATGGGAGGAATGAGGTTACGAAAGGGACTTGATGGTGTTTGGCCCCAGGGGGAAAACCCAGCAAAGCAATTTAGCTTTGAGTGTCGATCAAATTAGTGGCAGTTGCCGATGCCACCAACCAATCCAGGATCTGCCCTCAAGCTAGAACATTTGTGCCCGGGCTGAGCAACTCTGCCAACGTTACGACCTGTGGACTTCAACTCCCAGAATTCCTGAGCCAGCCATGCTGGGAGTTGAAGTCTACTGGTTGTAAAAGGGACACAGCTGCTCAACCCTGATTTATGCCCTTCGTTGCTTCTCAAAATGGCACAGGTCAGAACAATTTAAGTTCAACAAGGAAGCGCCAGGCAAACACAAATCGGTGCAAAAGACGTTGAGGTGGCACACCTGCCGTAGCTTAAGGGACAGAAAACAGGAAATGGTGGCTGGAGAGCCTCCTTCTCCTGCAAAGAATCTGCGTTTCTCACTTCAGAAATGAAAGGGGGCCTCCTGCACCTCGTGGTTAAAGGGTTGGCAATGCCAGGAGGGGAGGCAGCGTCGCCCAGCCCAGGTGGGAATCCCGTGCTGGAGGGGCCAAGATGCCCCACCTGCCTTGAAAAATGGAAGGAAGTTCGTCCACAGGAAGCAAATAAACGTGAAATGCAGGTAGTCCTTGACTTACGACCACAACGGTGCTCAAAATCTCCATTGCTAATTGAGTTTGGCCCTGTTTTACCACCTTTCTTGCCACAGTTCTTAACTCCTGCAATTGTCAAGTTAGTTGTTCAGTGAATCTGGTTTCCCCGTTGACTTTGCTGGTCAGAAGGTCCAGCAAAGGGGATCCCGGAGGTGCTTTTTGGCTGGGATCTTTCCCGTCAGAAAGCAGAAAGTCCAGTTGCTTCTTGGAAAAAGCACCTTTGGGGCAGCCGCGATTGGATGGCTGAGAAGCTCCAAGATCCAAAGGGGATCACGGGACCCCGAGACCCCCCCCAAGCCTCCACACTTTCAGTGCCGTTGCCACTTGGTCACTCAACGAATGGTCATAAATCGAGGACTACCTGGAAGGGATTCCGAGGCGGCTCCGGCCGGTCCTGCAGGGGCGCTGGACCTTTGGGAGGGCCAGGAGCCCCTTTGCAAAGCCCCCCCCCCCAACCCCCGCTTGGCTGCTGGGACCTGCTCGGCGGGGAAGCGGTGGTGGCGGTCGAAGGTTGCGGCGAGGGGCGCCAACTCCTTGGCGGCGAAGTCCCGGCAGGTCTCCCGCAGCATCCGGTGCGTCTCGGGCAGCCCCGCGTGGAGCAGCCGCGCTGCAGGAGGAAGAGGGGGAGGAGGGGGAGGGGGCTCAGCCGGCCGCCCACCCCAGACCCGCCCGCCGCCCCTGCCAGGTCGGCCGCCCCCGGGCGGGAAGCGCTGGGCGTCCCCGGAGCAGCCGGAGGGTCCCTCCCCGAAGCCCCGCCGACCTCCGCGGGCACCAAGGACGCCCCGACGCCCCGCCGAGGCCACCAGCGCCGCCATCGCCTCCGTCGACGCCCACCGGAGGGCGGGGCTGGGCGGGCGCTGCGGATCCGCCTGGGCGGGGCCTCCCCTCGCCCCTCCCCCTCGCGGAGGGGGGCGGGGCCGCTGGGAGCCCCGCGGGAGGAGACGTGGGGGGGGGGAGGGGGGTCCCTCTTCCTCGGGCTTCGCCTCCCGGGCCTCTCCCGCCTCCGCCCAACGACCCTCCTTTGGCCCCCGGATGGAGCGCCGGAGGGGGATGATTTGCTTGCGAGAAAGCGGGGAGGGGGACGCACCCCGGGTTAATGGCCGGTTTCTTCTCTGGCTCCTCCGTTAAACGAAGCTTCTAGGCCTGAATATAAGACAGGTGTCAGAATCAGGTACCCCGGAAGTGGAGAATCTGCTCTGGGCCGTTTGTCTTTTTTTTTCTTTTTAATTCGATTTATATGCCGCCCTTCTCCGGAGACTCCGGGCGTCAAGCAGTAGCCTTCATACTTTGTATGTATATTTTTTACAAAGTCAGCTTATTGCCCCCACAAACCGGGTCCTCAATTTACCTACCTTAGAAAGGATGGAAGGCTGAGTCAACCTCTGCAAAAGATTTGGTCACAAAACGAGGATGTGACTTCTAAGTTCCAAACTTGTCCCAAGAATTCAATGAGACCAACCGAGGAGGCCCTCTAAGTCTTGCCATGTCCTTCTGCACTTCTGGCTGATGTAGAGCAAGAGTTCTTGGCCTGCATGAAGGCTGCCATAATATCCTCCACCTCCTGCTTTTCTCTCCTTTTCCCTCTTTTGCAATAATCACAGAGTTGAAAAAGTGCTGCTTCTATCAGGGCAACCTGGTCCACCCAATTATGGGACGGAGCAGACTGCTTCCCTTTCGCCTTTCAGCCCCAATCCAGGAGCCCTGGCAGGCGGTCGCTTTCACGAGAAATTATTTTGTATGTACTGACATTTCTTTATTTCTTTGTCAGTAAGTATAAATTTCAGAGAGTTGAAAGTGACCACAGAGGCCAGCAAAATGAGCACATCCAATCTCTCGGTCTGCAGAGAAATCCAATTTTACTACTCCCCAAGGATTTCAGAGGTCTTTCTCAATCAGTCAGAATAGAGTTGGAAGGGACCTTGGAGGTCTTCTAGTCCACCCCCCTGCTCAAGCAGGACAACTTATACCATCTCAGAGAAGTGGCTGCCCAGTTCTCTTCTTAAAAACCTCCAGTGATGGAGCGCCCACAACTTCTGGAGGCAAGTTGTTCCACTGGTTAATTGTCCTGTTAGGAAATTACTTAGTTCTACATTGCTTCTCTCCTTGATTCCATTTATTGCTTCTTGTTTTGCCTTCAGGTACTTTGGAGAATAAGTTGACCCTCCCTCTTCTTTGTGGCAGCCCCTCAAATATTGGAAGACGCTATCATGTCACCCCATCCTTCTTTTCTCTAGACTAGACCTACCCGATTCCTGCAACCCTTCATGTTTTGGCCTCCAGCCTCATCATCTTTGTTGCTTTCTTCTGCACTCACTTTGCAGTGTCTCAACATCTTTTATATTATGGTGACCAAAGCTGGATACAGTATTCCGAGTGTGGCCTTCCTAAGGCTTTATAAAGTGGGGCTAATACTTCACATTGTCTTGATTCTATCCCTGTTAATGCAGCCTCGGGTTGCATTGGCTTTTTTGGCTGCCACCATACACTACTAACTCATGTTTAAGTGATTGTCCGCTGGGACTCCAAGGTCCCTCTCAGTTTTCTAGCCGGGTTTCTTGTACCTTTGGTTTTTCTTGCCCAGGGGTAAAACGTTGCTTTTCTCCACATTAAATTTCATTTTGTTGGATAGGGCCCATTGTTCAAGTCTGTGAAGTCTGTGGGGTGTTGACTATTCCTGCCAGTTAAGTATCATTTACAAATTTGATGAGTTCCCATGCCATTCCCTCATCCAAGTCATTAATGAAGCTATTGAGTACTGGGCCTAAGACGAAATCTTGTGGTACCTCACTGCTTACTTCCCTCCATGTAGATGTAGTACCATTAAGGACGACTTGTTGAGTAGGGTTTGTCAGCCAGTAACAAATCCATCTGGGGGTGATGCTGTCTATCCCACATTTTTCTAGCTTACCAAGAAATACATTGTGGTCTACTTTGTCAAATGCCTTGAAGTCTACTATGTACACAGCATTTCACTGGTCTACTAATTTAGTCACTTTGTCAAAGAATGAAATAAGTTGGGCTTGGCATGATCTCTTTTCAACAAACCTGACATAGTGCTGACTACGTTATAATTATCTACTTATAGGAGCATTATTAACCGCTACAGAAAAAGGCTCCTCCCCCAATTTATGTGGGAAGCTGACATCCTCCAATGTTCTTCTGATGTGTCCTCTTAGGCCCCCTTTTTAAGTAAATTCACAATCTGAATGTACAGAATTCATGCCCACGTTATGACACAACACCAGGTTGGAATGTACGTTTTTTTTAATTACTATTGCTTCAGACAAAATAACGCTTTATACAAACAAGTCGGCTAAATTACTGCAGATCAAGGAGATATAAAAATGATAGCATGATGGAGCAGATACTATTATGGAAATCACTTGGGGGGGCACTTTTGGAACTTCTGCCATTCTCTATGGAAAAATATCTCAGCAAAAAATTAGAAAAACTAGCGACCATCCTGTGCACTTCACACTTGCCACACTAAGATTCTGTGGGGAGGGGCAGCCCCTTTCATGGATAAACTCTCATGAAGCGCCACTGGCCAATTCAAAGCCACAAGATCGGGTTGGGGGGCATGTGTGGGTGTGGGGGGGCTTTTGGCCACAGTGCTCAATCTTCTCCCGCCCTGGGAAAATTCATTGCACTGTTGCTCTAAATAACCATCTCAGAAGATCATTGCATACGGAATTCCAGAACATCCGTAGTTTGAGCCTGCAGATCAGTTCACATAACTGGAAACGGACAGAGATGCATGTGTGCGTGCTTGACCCACACACAGCGGTCGTGGCCAAGCTGCTGCTCCTAAGCAGTACTCAGGTGGGGCATGCTCCAGACAGGATGGCTACCAGTGGCCACAAAGGTGGCTACGGCTGCTGCCGATTGCCGAGAGCAGGTCTCCCCAGAGCAGTCTTTGCTTTCAAGGGTGGGGGTGGGGGGAATGAGCCTAAAGGGGAGCCCCCCTTTTGCTTTTCTCCTGAGCTGGCTGGAGGAAACGAAACCCTCTCAATTTCATGCCCCTTTTCCAGCCACCCACTTACCTAGGTCACTAGTCCCCCTGCAGTGCTCCGGCCAAAAGGGAGGCCTGCATTTCTAATCACATCCTGCTTTGGAAGGGCAGCCCCACTCTGCATGCCCCCTTGGTCAGCATGGCAGAAACACCCCAACCCCCAAACTGATCCCTGCATGCCCAACGGGAGTGGCAGAAACGCAGCCCTTGCAGAGCAGAACAGCTCCAGGAGAGAACGGATGAGGGCCTAAGGACAGCTGTTGTCCAGGGCTCCAGAGGATGCACTTGGGGCGTCTGGCAATTCCCTCTTGCCCAGTGAAGCACCCCATTTTTTTCACACACGTACCCAATTTCCCTCCTATTGCTGGGCAGTCAGTGGCAAGGAAGGCACAGAGGAAAAATGGCAGGGAGGGTGGGTTATTGCGAACGGCCCCTGCTTTGGGGTCAGCCCTTCCAAGGCTTCCAGGTCAGAGGAGCTGCCTGGGGACTCCGTGCAGCAGAGGGTAGTTCCAAAGGCACCTGGGTTTAACCGTGAAGGAAAAGAAAGCCCTTGGAGAAAGGCACTTTGCCAGAGAGAGCCGGGGAAGCGTCGACCCACCATTCTCACCACCAGCCCTTCCCCAGACGACCATGAGAACTTACCCCTTAAAAGAACCGGAACTGAGTCCTGCACCCGAAGCTCCTTTGTTGGGGGCAGTTAAACCTCCCCCCAACTAAGAGGTTTAAACGTTGCTCGTTTTGGACTTCTCCGTTGCTCCCTGGAGCCTCCCTCCCTTTGGAGACTGACTGCCATGGGGTGCCCCACCTCCCTCCAGAGAGACTCCAGCCCTTCTGCCAAAGCAGCGCCTGTAGCGGCTTGCCAGAGAGCCCAGCCAGATGGCGGAGTCAATTCTCACCTGCAGCCTTTGCCAGCCTTTTCTCAGCCAGAAGCAAGGCAATATTGAGAGGGGAGGAGAAAGACTAGGATGGCCCCCACCTCCCCAGTGAGAATTGCTAGGTAGTAGAAGCCACGGAGTCACCTTCTGCTCTTCTGGCTAGGGGCACATCTTTACCATACAGGCCAGACCTTTAGTGGTGGCTGTTGCTCAAACAGGCCCAGAACAAGACAAAGTTCTGCCCTCCCCCAGGAGCCCCCTCCAGGCCCCTCCGACTCCAAAGACAGAGAAACAACCCTGACAAACGGGAACATCAGCTCAGGTGCAAAGCAGGCCACAAGGCCCAGCACCTGCCCAGCTCTCTGAGCTGCGGGATGCGTTAGGAAGGGGATTCTAGCCAAGCTTGGTCCATTGGGAGGGCCAGTGCTGGGCTTGTCACCAGACCAGGATGCCAATGGAAGCCATGATGGAGCAAAGCATCAACGGCCCAGAGAATTCCTTTACTGTCCCAGAGGAGACCCCTCCCGCTTGGCATGCTGCTTCTTGAGCCTCGCGGGAAGGAGGGGCAGGACCAGGCTGCCTCTGGCCCACGCAATGTCCGCAGGCGATGCTGGAATGGCTACTGCCCGCCATTGTAGGCGTAATCGGCCTTGTTGTGCATGATCAGCTTGTTGTCCACAAAGTAGAAGCTGTCTGAGCGAGTCTCGTAGGGGTTCTCGACCATCAAGCGTACTGCAGGGGCAAAAGAGAGGGAGGAGGGTCAGCCACAGCCCAGAAACAGCCACTGGCACCGACCCTGCAGTGCAGGTAGCGTCCACTCCACAAAGCAGCCTGAAACACTCTGGGGAGCAGGAAGCAGAGAAAGAATTTGTGGGTTTCAGAGAAATTAAAGTAAAACCGTTTATCTTCTGTCTCCCTCAAAACATTGACAGTGGGGTCCATAACGGCACCAAAGCAGATCACTATGGACGAATCATCCAAAGGGCAGAATGTTCTGACTGCTGCCGAGGAATCCGGTGCTGAGAGGGAGCCTTTTACAGAAGGCTCCCTGCTTGGCCCGTGGGACTCATCTGGTTCAAAGCCTCCCACCCGTGGACCTTTCACCCGACCAGGCCCAAGAGGTACTTACTGAGGTCCTCTGACAGCTGAGGAAACTCGTATATGTGCTCACAGGTGTTCCTGCTGCAGGGGATGCAGAAGCCAAAATCAAAGTCAAAGTTCTTCAGAAGACGGTCTCTGAAGTAATGCCTCTCGATCATACGGAAGTTGGAGACGGGCTTGTCTCCCACGGTGAACTCCACCCTGCAGGGAGAGAAAAGGGCGAGATAAACCCACAGCTGGACAATCAAACTGGTCTCCTCCCACGTGGCAACTCTGGAGTCCTGCCCTAGAGACGGCCCTGAAGCCGCTGAGGCAGCGTGAGCACCCTTGAGGGGCCCAGTTGTCCCTTGACACGATCCTGCCTGCATCACCACCAGTCTTTCTCCCCTGGTTGTAAAGAAGGGCTGACCTAGGAAGGGGATTCAACTCTGAATTCAAATTAGCAGAAAGAATAATAAGAAAAAAGAATAAACACAACAGACCTGCCTCAAGCAACATATATTCTTCTTTTGATTTGTACAAACTGCAAAATTCCAGACTTGGGTTTTGAAAATCTCTTTCTTTCTTTCTCTTTTACGTGCTCATTTAGAAGTGCTGAACTTGCTTTTCACCACGCCCGGTTGTGATTTTGTGGCTGGTGCTGAGCACAGCAACCACAGCAGCCCCACAGTCTCGCCCATCCCGAGCTTCTGCCCAGACTCACGTTGCCCCAACGGTCCGTAGGCGCAGGAAGGCCGGAGTGAACTGATAGCGAACAAAGCGTCCGGCGCTGCTGTCCACCTCCCCAAGGTCACACTCGTAGTCCTCTTGCTCTGTTAGGAATTAACAGTTATAGAAAATTCAGCAGGTCGGCTCTGTGGGGCTTCTCATTGGCCTGCCCTTCTGGAAGTGGGGCCACTCCAGGAAGCCCCCGCAGCCATCGCCTGCCCTTCCAGGTCTCGGCCTTCGGGGGCTGCCTCTGCAATACGGCCAAAATCAAGGTCGGGAACAGGAACTGTGGAACGAGCAACCGAGGCAGCTTTGCTGGACCAAGCTAACAAAGCTAAACATGACTTGGCTTAGGTGGGTGAACTGTTGGGACAGATGCCTTTGTGGGCACCTGGAATAACAGACGGAACCCATATTTAGACAGAAAAGTCCCAAGGAAACAGATCGTCCCAAAAGTGATGACAGACGAAGAGGAAGCAAAGATTTAGGGATTGTGAAACCACCATCTAATTATACTTGGAAACAAAACATCCTTCTTGGCATTTTTAACCATTAGTTGGGTCTTGCGATTCAGAACGGACCACGTTACTTTACACCAAAAGTAACTTACCTAAAATTGAAGGTTTGGCAATTTCAAACAGCACTGTCCCAGTCTCCAGGTCCCGGATTTTAAACTTGGTGAAGTCGATATTGTAGATGTTGTCTTCGGGTCGGCAAAGGTAATCTGGAAGAGAGGAAAGCAGAAGTGATGCTGAAATGCAATGGAGAGGCTGCCTGGCCCAGCCCACCAAAAGGGCCTTTGCATTCAGGGCAAGGAAGCGAGTTTCCAACCACAGCAGACAATACTAGGAAGTCTCTCCCAAGATTCCTGATCAATTCTGTGGCCAAGAGAGGCACCCGGTTAAAGGAGAAGAATCAGTGGAAGGATGTAAGACACAGACCTACTGTATGCAAGCACTACGGCAGGGATTCTACACCTAAAAAACTTTGCATTTAGAACCGAGCAACAAAATTATCAAGCTTGCTAATGGCACCAAATTATTTAGCCAAGACAGGAGAAAAGTGAAAGTACAGTTACAACCAGTCAAGAGAGAATTAACACAAGCAGCCTACCTAAATCTAAGTAAGTGCAACCTAGCTCATATCAGGACAAAAAGGGCCTAATTTTAAGTACAAAGAATTGTAGATCATAATCTACTTTATCTGACTTTATTTTTAGTAGTCTTGTAATGGAAGAAAAAAGAGAGAAATGGTAAACAGGGGACATGTAAGCCAAACTCATGACATAAATGTCAGGGCAAACACTTTTATACCCTTGTGACTTTGTAAAGATCGCCAGTCCTACATACCAGCTAAATCTGCTAACTACTGTTTATAGATTTAGGATCCTCGGTTTAATGACCATTCAAAGTTGCAATAGATCTGAAAAAAATGAATTGCAACTGGTCCTTGCACTTAGGACTGACAAAGTGTCTCTAGGGTCCATAATCGTGTGATTCACTCAATGGCCATGGCAAAGAAAGATCATAAAATCAGGGACAACTGACTTAACAACTGATGTCCTTGTGATTCTTGTCAGCTGACATAGTCATTGGATCTTTCCTAAGCAGCAGCTACTGTTTAGGAAGCATCCAATGAATATCTGTTCTTTCTTCTCCAATTTTATATTTATTTATTTACAGGGCTTGTAGGGCCACCTAGCTCATGCAGTGATTTTAGGCATAAAAATCAAACAAACAAATAAAGAAAACCAAATGTAAAAACAGAAGTCCCCCCCTCCCCAGGCATCCGACCACACAACCCCCCCAGCTCAACCCCAATCCTAGCCCAATGCTGAGAGAAGAGCCAGGCTGTCACGGCCCTCCAGAAAACTAAGCAGCTTCAGGTCTCTCAACTCTCAGCTTGGAGGCTATTCGAAAGGGCCACGACGATAACAGTGAAACTATGTTGTGGCAGTTGTCCCAAAGCTGCTTCCAAAGCCCACAGAAAAAGTTCTGCCAGAGGAGAAGCCTCTCTTGCACTTAAAAAAGCCGGAGTGGCTGAGCTCACTGGATTGGTGACACCTGATACAAATGATCACATCATGGAGCGGAATTTAAAATTTCCCTGTTCTAGCAGGGAATGCAAGAAACTGCTACTCAGCCAAATGGTCCATTTAATAACATTTCCATTCTGGGCCCAATCCTGTAGTGGTCTCCCTAGCAATTCCACAAGGGTCCTTTTTGGTGACATCACCTTGCAAGATGATATTATGGGTAGACATTGTTGAGGTGGGGCTAGTCAGAACCTCACTGCCCTCAACACCGACAAGACGGAATAAGAGAATAAGGGACTTGGAAGGGACCTTGGAGGTCTTCTAGTCCAACCCCTGTTCAAGCAGGAGACCCTATGCCATTTCAGACAAGTGGCTGTCCAGTGTCTTCTTAACAACTTTCAGTGATGGAGCACCTGCAACTTCTGAAGGCAAGTCATTCCACCGATTAATTGTTCTCACGGTCAGGGAATTTCTTAGTTCACTGCTTCTTGTTTTGCGTTCAAGTGCTTTGGAGAATAAGTTGACCTCCTTCCTCTTCTTTGTGGCAGCCCCTCAAATATTGGAAGATGCTACTTCTGGAGGCAAGTCATTCCACTGATTACCGTAACTGTTCTTGCTGTCAGGAAATGTCTCTCCTTGATTCGTTTCCATCCATTCCTTCTTGTCCTACTTTCAGCTGCTCTGGAGAATAGACTGACCTCCTTCCTCTTCTTTGTGGTAGCCCCTCAAATGTTGACAATCCAGATGTACATACAAAATCAGGGAATCTTCATGCAGCTGTCTACCTGCTTGTTGAGGGCACAATTACTTTGACTAGCAATGAAGCATGTGCAGCAGCATCAAAGGTTGGTGGTGCTCATTAACAACCTTTTCATGTTCAATCGTGTGAATAACACCGAGATCAAAAATAGTATGAATCTCAGACAGACCACAACGATGAAAGGAACACAGACCTATGGCAATGACTTCTTAAAGATTTAAGGTTTCAACATGTGCCATAAAAAAGGTACAAGTGCTGTGGCCAAGACTGTGCACTTCTGCTTCAAAGCCTGAAGAGAGTTGGTCATCTCCAGGCCGTGTCTTGGCACACTGTCTTCCATGATCTTGTTGAGACGCCTTTTTGGTTTCTGTGGAGACTACACAAAGGTTGTGTACAGAATCAAGCAGACCCTCCCGCTAAGTTGAAAGGGTGATGTAGATGCCGCTTCCAGTGCACTGATGTGATGAATGGAGGCAGGGCCGGATTTAGATGAAAAGAGGCCCTAGGCTATTCCACTTATGAGGCCCTTTCACCTATAGTGAAAGTGTAATTTTAATTTTGCTAACAATTTGAATGTAGGCCCCTCTTGATCTTGAGGCCCTAGGCTGAAGCCTAGTTAGCCTATAGGAAAATCCGGCCCTGAATGGAGGGATGGTGCCCATTCAGCCGTCTTGGTTCATGCCACAGGTTGTAGCACCCCATGAGTACGAGTCTTTCTGAGGAAGCAGACTGAAAGAGCAAGATGCAGGTGCCAGTGGCATTCCGTGCCATGCAGTGCAACAACACCTGTGCCATACCATAAACCGCCTCTCTCTCATGGGATTTGAGAATCTTTGTTTTGGATGTGCACAAGGAGTCCAAATATTTGAAGATGACGACTACCGGCAAGTCAGACTCTGATGCCACTTTGTTGGCTAACACAACTACCTATGGTGCCCTGGTTAGTGGCAAGCTAATCTACCTTGAATCTGATGGGAACAAATTCAACAGTGCATTGACTGAAGGAAGTTTTGTCCCTTCCCCCCTTTAGAGCTCAACCATTTTTGGCTCACGAGTTGCCAAAATGGATCAGAATGAGCAGCAAAATGAAACAAAATACATTGCCTTTGGTGTAACATTAAGCAATTTGGGGTGGGTGGGAGAAGAGGAGACACGACTACCGAAAGCTGCAAGGGATGCCACTGAAGTTACTCTCTGCCAACTTCAAAATGAATCTGGCCTGCCGCAGCCATCTTTTCGTTTCTCATCTTGCCACATTATACGGGGAGAGGAGGAGGAAGCTTGGAATGTCGGACCAGATAATAACAACCAATCCTCCCATGGGAACCAAGGCCATCTCAACAGGTGTCGGCCAGAGACTGGAAGGAGTTACCAAGGAGACGCCAGAACACTTAATTGGACAATGTGATCTGTGACATGGGAAGGGAATATCTATTCTTTAATTATTCCAAAACTGTGGGAAACAAGAGCTGGTTTTGTTTTCATGGGTGCCGAAATGGTGTAGTCAATAAAACAGTTCTTTGCGAAAGCTGTCCGTCTCGGAGTGCTGAAGGGTTGGGTTCATCAGTCGGGATCTTGACACTCCTGTGGCCAACTCTCTGGAACTGACAAGTTTGGGTTCAGCAGACGGCCTACATCATGAAGAGGCCGAGGGGTGCTGGAACAGAACTGAAGCTGAGCAAGATCCAGCCGAAGCGGATGAGCCAGGAGGGCAGCAACCTTGCGACCAACCTTAGTGCAATGGGTGCCCTGACGGGGCATCGGCCAGGTTCATGCAGGACGAACAAAGCAAACCATGCTGCCCAAATCCATTTCAAACGATGCCACTGTGAGTCTGGAGCACAAGGGTGAGGGACCCTCCGTTCTGGGTTGCAGCTAGAGGAGGGGGCTCCAACCTGGGCAACTTACTAAAGCAGAGTTTCTCAACCTTGGCCGTTTGAAGACGCGTTGCTGGCTGGGGAATTCTGGGAGTTCAAGTCCACACGTCTTCAAACGGCCAAGGTTGAGAAACTCTGTAGGAAGGCTTCCCCGGCATGGCTGCCAGGGGAATTCTGGGAGTTCCAGGATTAAAGCAGCCACGGTTGGAGACCCCTCCCCTTGAGTGTGAGATTGGGGGGGGGGTCTATCTTTTCCAAAAATGCTGAGCATCTGGGGGGGGCAAAGGGGAACCAGGGGGGTCCTGCATTCCGGGGGGGGGGGGGGGGGGGGGGGGCCCAGAGGGGGCGGGGGGGGAGGGGGGGGGGGGGGGGCTGACCCTGTGGGTGCCCCTCCCGAAAGGCGCCGGGGGCTCCGTGCCTAGGAGCTTCCTTCCCCCCCCGCTCTTTCTGCGGAGCCCAAAGCCCCCCCGTGCCTTCACGCCTGGCGGGGGGGGGGAGAGCCGGCGGGGGGGGCGAAAGGAGCGGGGGGGTCTTTCCAAGAGGCTCCGCCCCTTCGACCCCCCCCTCAAAGGACCGGACTGCCCGGCGGCCTATTTCCCAGCCGAGGAGGCCCCGGGCGAAGGGAAGCGGCTACTCACGCTCCGTGACGCGGCCGAGTCCCAGGACGTGCTCGGGCCGCACCGCCTCGAGCGCCAGCAGCTCCGCCTCCGTCCTGGGAGGCGGCAGGGCGGCCCGCGGAGGAGGCGCGGCGGCATTGGCAGCCCCCGAGCTCCTCTGCCCGCGCAGGCGACTCAGCGCCCCGCCGGGCCCGGCCGCGGCCACCCTGGGCTTCGAGCCGCTCATCGCCGGGCCGGCCCCGCCGCCGCCGCCGCTGCTGCCAAGATGGCCGCCGCCTCTGCCTCGGCCCCGCCGGTCGCCATGGCAGCCGGGGGGCGGGGCGGGGCGCGCGGCCTAACAAGGGAGGGCGCCGCCCCTGGAAACGGGCGGGCGGGCACGTGGCCACGCCCCCTTCTCGCGCCTCTCCCGCCGGGCGGCTCCTCCGGGGCGGTCAGAGGACGACCGAGGCGGCCTCCAGCGGCCCGTCGCTTCGGGAGGCGGCTCCACTGAGGAAACCCTGAACCGCCTCCAGTGGGAGAAAAAAAAAAAAAAGGCCCAGTTGCCTTTTGGAAAAAGAACCGCCCACTCCCAGAGTTCCCCCCTCCCCCCTCCCGCGTGGTGGCCGGAGAATTCTGGGAGTTGAAGTCCACACAACTTTCAAAGTTGAGGCTGTCCTAAAGTGGATCCGATAGCACAGCGGTTCTCAACCTTCCTAATTCCTTTAATACAGTTCTTCATGTTGTGGTGACCCCCAACCATAAAATTATTCCTAAAACCATTGAAAATATGTGTTTTCCGATGGTCTTAGGCGACCCCTGTGAAAGGGTCGTTCAACCCCCAAAGGGGTCCCGACCCACAGGTGGAGAACCACTGCCATAGCAGAATTTGGCAGAAAGCAGAGGAGTTAAAACACGCCTGACTAGAAGAGGGAGGGAATCATTTTTTAAACCTTCAAGCCTGTTTTTTGCACACAGCAACAGCACTTAGGCTGCTCTACAGCCCTCTCTCAGCCTCCTGCCCCCAACCATCTCGCCTCCCCACTTGACCCACCTCGGAAGGACGGGAGGCTGAAGGACAAGCAAGCTTAAGGCCTACCGGAGGCAACAATGTAACTGCCAGCTTGGGAAGGATTCTTTGTTGTGGTTCCAGGATTTTAAGTTAGGCACGAGTTAGAGAGTTTCGAGCTGAGTCCGTCATCTTTCCACTTAAAAAAAAAAAAATGCCAGTTTTGTTAAGTGACAATATAATTTTTATTTTTTTTTAACACACTGCTGGTTAAAACTGCCAGGCAGTAGATTTCAGAATATTTCCCTCAACCAGACATCCTGAGAGAGAAAAAAAGAGAAATCAACAAAATGTATTTAAAAAACAAAACAAAACAGCTAAATGTACCAAAATGGGACGGAGGGAATAATTAATGCAGAACTCATCCATACCTATTTCACTTCCCCAGGAAAAGAAATCTTTTGCAAAGCCAATGTAGTCAGACAAAAGTCGTATGTGCTTTTTACCCTTTGCCCAAGCTCAATATTAAATGCACACCTACACACATCCCAATAATAAAAAGAACCAATGCAAAATATTAAAAGACACAAAAGTAAAGGACAGTTGCACGCACCACCCTGCTTCAGAATTATGTACTGACTTTAAAGTTATGAATGGCAAACCAGCGTAAGGACAGATTCCACCCAAGCCTGAAACCTGGCAGCAAACATTCTAGGGCCTAGGCCATGTCAACTTCCAGCCTGGCAGACTTCAACTCCCAGAATTCCCCAGCCAGCAAAGTAAAGTTGGCTGGGGAATTCTGGGAGTTGAAATCCTCCAGGGTGGAAGTTGCCACGGTTGGAGACCCTGTTCTAGGCTGTCCTAAGAGGCCATGTCAATGCCTCTTTAGCAAGCAGGGACACAAATAGAAAAGATAAACACACATAACAGTACAATAAAGGGTGGGGCCTCAATCTTCCAATAGCTGAGACTGCAGCCCCCCAAACCTGCATCTGCCTTGTTAACAACAATAACAAGGATTATCTCCACTTAAACTTTGATCCTGACAAGGTGACCTGACTCCAATTGGCTTAGGAAGTGAAGTTGAGAGGGAGGGAGAGAGATAGAGGGGGAGAGAGAAAGGTCAGGCCCTTTCCCTGGGGGGAATTCAAAAATCTCTCAAGGCATTTCCCCAAAGGCACCCCAAATAATTTCCCACAGGCTTAACCAGGGAGTGATCTCTTGGTTCAAGAAACGAACCCAGGGACACAGAGACCAAGTCAAATAACGATCTGGAAGCTAAGCACCACTCTCAGATCCCCATCAAGCACAGCTTTGGGGGCCTGGGGGCGGAGGGGGGGGGCAGCCCAAAGGCAACGGAAGGAGGTTGGCTGCCAATGCCTCCCTATTCCCTCCCTCCCTCGGCTCTTCTGCTTTGAAGGAAGCAGCATTAGGGGCTAGCAGGCATTGTGAACCACCAGCTAAGCTCCTGAAGGAAGACGGCATTTCAAGGCCTATCCAAAATTCTCCAGCAGAGATTTCTACTGCTGTGTTTGTCTTCGGGGGTTTTCAAAAGCCATCTACAGTCAGGTCTTTAGGATAAACACAGTTCTCCACAGCAACCACCTCAACTTTACCTTTGGCTTTGCGGCCAGGGAGGCCCAACAATATCCGCTCACTTAGGCTTTCCTTTTGGCAAATTCCAACACCCGGTCTTTCCAACTTAAATGGGAGTCGGAGATGCTTTTAGCGAGTCTTGGCCTACATCCAACGGAATACCCATTGGAATTACCCAATGCCCATACCAAAGCAAGGTTTTACCTTTGGGATTCACTGATGAGCCCCGACCCAGCCCTCCAGCCAAAGGCAACTGCAGATCTTTCCCAAGGCTGCTCAAATGGCCCTTTCTCGCTCTTGAAGATATTTAAACGATGATACCCGATTCATAGGTTTCCTCTTCTGAATGTCTAAATTGCTGCAGTAAAACAGGAACATTTCTCAGTAGCATAGGTCTGATGGAACCTCAGGAACTATAAAATAGTCATTTATTCCCCCTACTGGCTAAGGGAGAGGGCATGATATTTGTGCAAGCAAAATGTAGGTCACAAAATAAAAACAATTCCACAAAGGGGCAGCCAGATTCCACTGTGCCCAATAATGCTACTACACAAGGACCAGTGCCCCAAACACATAACTAAAGCATGCATCAGCATAAATGAATCCAGAACGCGGACCCTGCTCACAACAGCGGTAGCAGAAGGAACCTTCATCACCTTTTGGCATCTGGCAGGCATAGACTGCCATTCACTTGTACCCTACAGCCTGCAAGCACAAGATCTCCAGCTTAGGTATAGAAGAGCCTCAAGGACCACAGTCCCTAAATCAAGATGCCAAGGCAACGTAAGCCAGTTGACCCCCAACCCTCTGCCTCAAACTGTGCAGATCCACAGTAGTCTTAATACTTTTATAGATCCTAAAAGGGGCAGATGCCCCGCACAAACACAACCAGAGAGTTTTAAAAGCAAAATCTGTGGAAGAAGAGATCAGCTTCTGTTGTGATGTGCTTTGTGGAGGGCAACTCTGCAAGCATCATCTTGACAGATACGCCTGTTGTTGTTTTTTATTCTCAGAGTATATAGAGGAATGAAAGACCCAGCCCTCGCACATGCTCATGGTTTTAAGGGCATCTCAGAACAGGAAGTGAAGGGTAGAGGGTGAACTTCTCCACTTTCTGCAAGTGTACAGAGCATGGGGCCCCAAGGGCCTTTCTCGTGCAAAGTTTCTACAAAACAAAGTTCCTTTTAAAAAAAAAAAAAACCACCTCTTGACATGCAAAGAAGCCTGCCAACTCATACCTGAAAAAGTTCAAAAGGCAGAAGCAACAAATGCAGATTCAAATGCTGGCTTTGCTGCAGTTTCCTTTAAGAAAGAAAATACTAGAATGTCTTGCCACACTCAACGTATTCAAATTCTAAGGGAAAATTAGGGCCACGTTCTTTCTGTATAAAAAATAGGGATGAAGCCGCTCTTACTAGTGAATGACTGGAACCAAACCTTCTTAGGATAAAAGGGAATTGCCTTTTTTTTACACCTCAAGACCCAGAAATGCAGAATTTCAGTTGTGTTAAGTCTACCCATCCATATCAGAAACAAACCATCTCTTCCTTTAGGAATTTTGAGTTCTCTGAATTGGAGACGATAGCAAGTACTCAGATAGCTCAGGAAGATAATCAGTAACTGTTTGCCTCCTCTGGCCCTGGAGAAAAAAAGGGAATGGAAATAAGGTTGCAATCGCTCACTTGGTCTTCCTCCATCTTCCATTTGTTTGTGGAGGAAATGTGCAGTTTTACAATCAAGTGGGAAATTAGGGTACGAGCGAGGCGAGGCAGCCTATATGTTCTGTTCACTTGCAAAATATAAGTCAGCCTCTAAATAAACAGCTACAAGGGCTTTCGTTTAAAGATTAAGGATTCAAAAAAATGAACAGTCGGCCCCTTACCCTCGTGGCTATGTACCTGAGCTCACATAACATCCACCTGCTTTGAAAAACAGATTCATCTGTCCACACCTGCAACATTCATGGCTTCCGATTCAAATTCTTCCAAGTTGAAATTCAAAGAATATATTGGTGAAATTATTTCGGGGTAATGTGTGTGTGAGACAATGAAGGTGCGAAATTTCCATAGCTATATTCTGCTAGCAGGTATCAACTGTCTCACAGGGCATAACCCAGAAGTCACTTCACCAATGACAGCCATGAAAATGGGACACCCTACTTCTGAATATGGGCTTCCATCAAACGAAATTTAGAGCCATGGTCAGAAAGAGCAAAGGGGAGCAGCTTTCAGATGGGGCTCTTGCAAATCCCTGCCAGCATTTTCAGTCAAATGGGGTTTATTCCTAAATAAATTGGGGCAGGATGGGGTGGGCATACTACTGTCTGGTAGAAATATATATAAATAAATAAAAAGAAAAAAAATTACTTTTGAGGTGAAATGTCTAAAAGGAAGCCAAATCTGGGCAGGAAGACTATTTTCTGAGCCAGCTGGAGAAAGAGAGCAGCTGACTGAGTTTAATATGTTTACTAGCAGTATGAAAAGAAAATGCAAAACAGTTCACTTCCCTGTTGAGATTGTAGCTGGAAAGAAACCGGACAAGTGCCTTAAAATTAAGCCCACAAACTGGGAAAATGGAACAGATTATAGGCCCAAACATTAAATACGGTGGCACAACCTGGCCGCTGCAGGGCTGAAGCACCATGAGCTGAATATCAACTGACTGATTGACAAGTACAGTCATCTCGCTCTCTGTGTGAAAAGGCCACGGAGGAAAATGTCTTCCACTCTGCCTTTGTTTTGCCCAGATTCCACTTATATAACTACAGCAATGGAAAACCAGAAAGCCACATCAAGAGAGGCGAGAGAGAAATATTCCTTAGATCCCAGTAAATATTTAGGGAAGATAACAACAGCAATCCCAACAGCCCAAGGAGGGAATTTTTCTGTAGGTTATAGATTCTCAAGCAACCCTGCCTTTGCTTACAATACAATCTGCTCTCCATGGCAGGAAGCACCTTTTAAGGTCATTTCAGACTCTGCCCACAAAAAGACCCGAGAAAGGAATGGCCAGCGGGATCCCTCCAGAGGGCATGCATCTCTTTCAAAAGTTGCCTTGAAGCTGAGCCTAAAGAAGCTCAAAGACGCAAACCTTTTCGAGATTTCCTAGCTCTGGACCTCTTAAGCAGAAAAAAGGAGATGCCACCTTGGATTATGGAAAGTCTCCAGGCACAAGAAAAACGGAAGGCCATCAGGGAAGATTCCTACATGCCTGCTGGAGTGCCAGCTTCTACTGGTCAGGTTTTTGCCACGTAACATGGAATGGGAAGAGGAGTCAAGAGTGGAATCACAGCATTTGGGAGGCGGGGGAGAGAAACTAGATTAAAGTTACACCGTGTCTGTGTGTGTGTGAGAGAGAGAGAGAGAGGAAGGGGGAATTCTCTAAGGACAACTCAAGACTTGCCAGAATTGTCATGACCAGGGAAAGCACTTGCCTGAAAATAAAATCTTCTCAGAATGCCTGGCAGAGCAGGGGATCTAGATTACCTGCTCAACCTGTTCCATAACCAAAAGCAGGTTGACCAAACATCAATCCGTCAAGGTGAACCTCCTCATTCAGAGGAGAAAAGAAGTACCATGTGTTGAGCTACAAATGTTCTAGCGGATGTCTACCTAACCCCCACCTCCACACCCGTGGATCCTTCTAGCAAGGCTGCTCAGTGGCCGCTTTTCTTTTCAGCCAACCTTTGGATCGTGTGCCTTTTCTCCCGCCCCTTTTGACGCCATCTTGCTCGTCGCAGGATTCGCTGCCCCAAAGATCCAGGTTCTGCTTCAAGACCTTCTGGACAGGAAAGGTGCCCGCTGCTGGCCCACAGCTGGCCAAGACCCAAAGTTCTGCTGAGGGGGATGCAAACTCTCCCTTTATTGTACCTGCTGCTCCTTAAAAAGCCATTATTTTCCTTAAATACGGAGAAGCCAGGACTGACTCCACGTCCGGCCCAACTCCTCCTCCCCGGCTTGCAGACCACTGTGCTTGCTGTCTTTTTCACAACCTGCAAAGGCAGAAGAGGGTTGGAATGAAGACGCCAAAGGCCACTAAGATCGGGAACATGAGGCTGCTGTTGTCCGAGGCATAGGGGTTTGGTGTGCGGGGGCCTGACTGGACCCGGTTCTTATTGGTCTGCTTTTTAGGGCTGGACCCTTCTTCATACTCCTCTTCATCTTCCTCCTCCTCTTTCTTCTCCAGGCCTGGGTGAGGCTGAAGCTTTGGAACATCTGTAGAAAGAAGAAAAACAATGCCAGAGTCTACACCATGGTGCAAAGCAGAGAAATTGCAGGGAGGCAAGGAGCATTTTTCTAAACCCTAAACCGTTACGATTCAAAGCTGTAGGTAAAATACTTAATCCACATACAAAACCTTATCAAGGCCAACGTAGAATCCCACCGAGGGTTGAACATGTCATCCTCTCCATAAAATGCAACAGGTTAGCATTTTCGGACCATTACAAACTCCCTTTTTTCCCCCCTGGAAGGGAAGTTTGGGGCACTAGCCCTAGGGAATAGAGAAACCTGAGGCTCCCTTCCATTTCCTCTGGATGTTCTCAACAGACAAGTAGGCTGACACTGCTCAGATAGCCAGAGCACCTGCAGCCAGACCCCTGTCCACGTGACCTCTTCTACCACCCAGAGAAGGTCAGCCAAATGGGAATGACACCCCCACCCCCAGATGGCAACCTACGACTTCCCTGCTCCAGGAGTGCTCTGGCGTAGCATGGCAACACATTCAGCTTGCCTACAGACTGTTGTCTCTTGCAGTGGGACTTGACTGCAGCTAGAAGAACTTAGTAAAAAGAAAACTGTTGCGGGTGAGGCAAGAGGAGTTCCTTTCTGCTCAAATGGACCTGAGAATACAGGGCTATGTCCGCCTCTTTGGCCAGAAGGCTCGAGGCATTTTCCCGTCTCGTACTGGCTGAGTCTGGTTTACTGAACCGCAAACTAAAGAGAAAACCTTTCCACTGGCTGGGAGCAACACGTAGCAGTTACAAAGAAAAAGTTAATGTTTAAACCCTCAAAAGCTAGAACCATCTCTGACTATTTTCTTTTAGCGGTGCAGGACTAATTCCTATCTTTTGGAGACCCTGAACATATTGAAGGATAACTCCAGCTACTGTTACCAGAATTATATTGTCACTCAGCCTAAACCGAGTTTCTACCAGGTTGCCAGCATTCAGGAGATGTTGCCTTCAATTACTGGACACATAAGCACGACCAATCAATCTGATACTGGCTTTGAGGCAAGAACTGCTCGCTTACCTCCACTGCAGGGGAAAACCCACGGACTCCTGAGCCAAAAACAGCACAATTAGAATCACAAGGCCCCTGAGTGTTTACACCTTCCGCACCACTTTGGGCAGCGCCAGGATCAATGGGAACAAACCAGGTGGTATTTCTGGCTATGGGGCCACCAGGGTTTTGAGTCTGGAGAAAAAGTTCTTCATTTGTTACAAACAACAGAGGATTCGCATCTTGATGAGGTTTTGGGAAACTGACAACGCAGCCAGTGCAATGATACTCTTAGATATTCAGCTGATATGGAGAGATGCCCACGCTGTAGCTTTGTGGCTTCCTTTGCAAGGTTCCCTGATCTGGAGCCACTGTAACTGTTTACGCAACCTTCCTAATATATTCCACTTGTTTCTGTTGGTGCTGTCCACTCCCCTGGATCCATAGGGCCTTCAGAGCCACCATACAACCTAACTGGTTGATAAGCAAAATCCAGTCATGATGGGTCCTGATTCCAGCACTGCTCCTCCCTCCATTGTGTGCCTATGGGTGGCATTTCCTGTGACAGGCTGGATGGAGATAGCAAGTGCCTTGCTTGGGACCGTTCTATGTACAGTACTTGGAGGTGCATCTGGTTCATTCCTGACCCAGGAACATTTTATTTCCCCCCAAATGCAGGATTTGTGTGGGACCTCTAGATTTCAGAACACTGGGAGGCACTGAGGTTGGAGCTGCTCTCTCTTTTCTCTGTAGCGAACAATCCAATAAGCAAATATTCCAAACTGCATTCTTTTAATGCAAATTAATGCAAATGACCAGCTGCCTGCAAGGAGTATAAATCCTTCAGTTCCCCACCATCCAGTCTGAGCTGAAGAAGCTTCTTGGATGAGAAGTGAAACATCTTCAAAGAAAAACCAGAAAGTCCAGTTGCCTCTTGAAAAAAGCACCTTTGGGACAACTGTGACCTGGATGACGGAGAATCTCCATAGAAGACAAGGGCTGCTATCACTTTTCAAAATATTTTGGGTATCGAATCCAACAAATCAGAGGAAATTCCAGGAAGAGGTTCTGATCGGAACATGCAAACATGCTTCTAAAAGATTCGCCAGGACTAGTAAAACTGATGCAACAGCTTTTCTTTTCAATTTTCTATTTTGAAGGCTTAATGCCTGCTAAGAGTTAAGCCCTTTCATTGACTTATCAAATAACATTGGGAATAAATCAGAATTAAATTGATGGGAAAAAGCAAATCGTGTGAGGTCATCCACAAGCACATGGGTGCCTGAAGTCGCAAAATACGACGTCTTCCAGTCTCAGCCCACAGAGTGAAATCACACTGCCTAAAAGCGTACCACCACTTGCAAACACTTTGGCAAGCAATCTCCCTGCAGGCAACACTTTGGCAAGCAATCTCCCTGCAAGAACGGAGCCCGGGAGGGCCCAGCGCATCCCTCCTGGTCTCTGTTCTTGCCACCAAAGGCAAAGATGACCGTAGCCTACAGGGACACAATGTCCCTGCAGGCTTCGGTAAGGAAATGGCAAACGGAAGGAAGGCCTGAAGGACCGAAGCCTTCCCTCCATTTGCAAAGCCTTTTGCCGCAGATCTCATCCAGGCCTCAATTTGCAGAGAATAGAGGCCTAAAGGAGAACGAGATCTCGCGCTACTGATCTCGTATGATCTCACAGTACTTGAGGCCTCTGCTCTCTGCAAATGCACCGAAGGCCTGATGTAACGAAGCAGGCAAAGACATTGTGACACAGAGGAGGTCTTCGCAAGGTGAGTCTCCACAGGCAGAGTGCCTGTGGCAGGGTGAATGTTGCAGTGCCTTTGCGGATTCATAAGGATGAACAACTGCGGTGGTGCTGCAACATTCATAACTTTGGGACTGTGTCGTAAGTACTTGGGGGGAGCTATGTCGCAACTTAGAACGGTCACTAAGTGAACTGTCGTAACTTGGAGATTACCTGTATATGGGAAAAAAGATAACTAAGAGAAAAAATGTCAGCTAGCATGCTGCTTGCTGGAAATGGACAGAAGCAGCTCTGACAAAAAATGTATAATTATTATTGGGAACAATATAATAATAATTCAATCCTTAAGTTTATCATTAATATCAGACAGTATGGACACATTACTTCATCTTTTCCTTTTTAGAACAGACTTCAAAAATAAACAATGACCTAATCTATCTCTTAAAATCAGGTTTTCCATTTACACAACTTTATTTCTCTGTCGCACCCCAGGCTTGATACAACTGAAGCTCTTTCTACGGTTACAGATTCTATCTTTTAGTAACTGAATTTAACATCACCTTAAGTTCCTTAAATTATTGTATTGGTGTGTGACCGAGAGCTGTCCTTTGGACAGAGACAGGATCGCCCGCCATTTGCCTGGGGGTTCAAAGAAGAAATGGGAAGACAAAGAAGTTACTCACCATCCACTGTTCCTGCGAGGACATAGAGCGCACAGATTTTTGGATTATCATAGTACCCCTGTGGAAAGCAACAGAGAGTTGATGAATTCCTTCGTTACCATTTGTTCCTTTGGAAGAGCTGATTTTTAAGAATGGTTCAGGTTTGGGGCTGCCCAAGGAGGTTGTGAGCTCTTATGGCAGTTCTGTAGAAGAGTTCACAGCCCAGGCTCTCAGGGGTTGTTACCAGCCCACAGAGTTGCCCGGTTTAGGATACTACTGGAAGAAAGTGAATTGGGATTCACAGCCAGCTATCTGTTGGACTTTTTTAAGTACATGTAGACCTCGATTTACAACTATTCATTTAGTGACCATTTAAAGTTACAATGGCACTGACTTATGACCAGTATGTACACTAAGGACTTCTGCACCAGAGACAAATTCCTTGTGTGTCCAATCACAGTTGGCCAATAAAGAGTTCTGTTCTGCTCTGTCCAATCCGTTCTCACACTTATGACGATTGCAGCATCCCTGTGGACAAAATGCAGGCGTTGGCAACTGGCATGCATTCATGACAGCTGCACTGCCCCAGGTTCAAGTGATCATCATTTCTAACCGTCTCATCCAGCAAAGTCAATAGGGGAAGCCAGATTTGCTTAATGACCGTATGTCCACTTAACAACTCTGGCAAAAAGGTTGTAAAATGGGACAAAACACACTTTCTGTTGCTTAGCAACAGAAACTTTGGGCTCAATTGGGGTCATAAATCGAGGACTACCTGTACTTAAACTAACCTCCCAAACTTCCCTCAGGCCAAGCCCACAAATAATTCAAACTCCACTGAGTGAAATTCAGACTGGATCCACGTTCATGCACACACTTAAGAGATCACAGGAACAAAGTTAGCCTTGATGCAGCTAGAAATAACAGAGGTGGGTGCTTTTTGGGCCAACAGATGAAGATCAATGGTAGCCTCGGTACGGGACAGAGGGTGCAACTTCTCGTCGTGTGTCACTGGCGAAAATATGCTGCCCTTGACTCTGCAGTGTATGTCTGTCAGACCTGCCCCAGGTAGATCCCTTAGGAAAGAAAGACCCTCGATTCCACTTGGTAGAAGTGATAGGTTCTTTTACCTAAAGATGCTGGCTGCAGTAAAGTCAGGCTAGAACTAAATTTCCAGTGCTAAAATGATACAAAATGTTTCCCCTCATCCCAGCCTCCCCCCCCCCAATGACTATTCTGTATTCAGCCAATGAAGTTTCATCTATGTAGATGTTTTGAATACGCTGAGATTTCTGGGTAATCCACACTGTTTCTCAGGGTGCATGGCTTTTGAGTGCTGGCCCAAACTCATTCCGAGCTACCCTGTCATTCCCCCCTCCCTAATTCCCACCACATAGCCATACATGTTTATTGCCCATTTGTTCCCCCCCACGGCCCACCTCCCTCCTAGCCTTTGAGGGTAGGATGCCAGCCAGCCAGGTGCCAAGCCAAAGCCTGTGGAGACACATGTCACGGCTGCCATTCTGCTTCTAGCTTTGCATCCCATCTTGCCAGGTGTCATTTGCAACCGGGGAAGGGAGGGGAGACAGGGGATGTGGGTGGATAAGGACATGGGGGGTAGGGATGAAGCCGGCCCGGCCCTGACAGTGAGTCGCACCAATCCAGTACAAGGTCAGCCCAAAGAATGCAGAGATGGAGAAGGTGCCAACTGAAGGGTCCCTTCCTTAAAGAACCTGAGAACTTCTAATTGGACATTGACTGATGACAGGGAGGGGGAGGGGGCGGGACTTAATTGCATCTTTTTCATGCCAAGCCAGTAGATTCTGCCTGGCTCTGATCTATCCCCACTTCGTTCTTAGTAAAGTATTGGTCTACTCTTGGAAAAAGCAACTGGACGGGAGTCTTTCTTTGCCCAAAATGCTTTGGAAGCACAAGTGACAGGTACCAAGTGCTTGATTTCCACATTATATTAGGACCTTATATTATTTGATTATCCACTCAGGAGAGGGAAGATGCTTCAAACTTTGAATCTGAATTTGCTGATAGCACATTCAGTCTGCAAAAGGAGTTTTGAATTATTTTTAAAACTGAGTTATGAATAGTCTGAAAAATCCCAGCCTTGACAAAGCCGAGGAGCAAGACGATCAGGGACAGCAAACATGTCTCATTAAGGCACCCATGTCTACAAAGGCTCTTGTTTAATAGGCTAACAGAGTTGGAAGGGACCTTGCAGGTTATCTAGTCCAATCCCCTGCCCAAGCAGGAGACCCTACATCTGTCTCTACCTAGGATTGAACTCACTCCTGATTGTGAGGCAAGAGCTCCGCCTCTAGCAGCTCTTGACTGAAGGAAACTCTGTACAGGTAGTCCTCAACTTACGACCACAATTGAACCCAACATTTATGTTGCTAAATGAGAAATTTGTTAAGTGAATTTTGCTCCTTTTTACAACTTTTCTAAGTGAATCACTGCAGTTGTTAAATTAGTAACAGGGTTGTTAGGTGAATCCCACTGACTTTGCTTGTCGCAAGGTTGCAAAAGGGGATCACACGACCCCAGGACACAGCAACTGTCATAAATACGAGTCAATTGTCAAGGATCCGAATGTAAATCATGTGACCATGGGGTCATAAGTACTAAAAATGTCACTTTTTTCAGTGCCCTTGTAATTTCAAATGGACACTAAGCGAACTGTTGTAAGTTGAGGACTACCTGTACTCTCTTTCCTGCTCTACTGGTCCCTTCCTCTGGCTCCTGAACGAGAGAGACATGTGGCTCCCTCGGCTCCTCTGCCTGCACAGGATGGTGACAAAGGGCTTAGCCAATCTGCCTTCTTGCAAGTTTTGCTTTTTTTTCCTTTTACCTTGACAAACTCAATGTTGAGCTTCCCTGTGAAGGTAGAAACCTCTCCCTGCACACTCAGCTTCCCCTTCTTGATGCTGATGGGAACAATCTCATCGTGGGCAGTGCTGTGTCCCACTCGGTCAAAGATGTCCAAGTCCTTCACCACCATGTGGCCGTTCAGACGCACATCAAAAACCTGCAAGTTGAAAAGGAGACAGAATTGCTCTCAGCACGTTGGGAACACAGACGCAGGTGAGTTTTCAAGCTGCTCAAAATTCTCTCTGTGAAGAACGGAACGGCCACACACAACACACCCGTCTACACTCCTTGATGAGGAATCTTGCATAACTCAGGCCACTGAGAGTTGCTTTCAATAAATGCTGCACCAATGGAAATATTATTTTATTAACACCGTTTTGAGATGGTGCCAACATTTGGAGCTGTGAATTGGACCAAAGGGCATGCCCACTCACTGGTAACATAAATGAGGCAAGTATCTTTAGATATATAGTCAAAGTTTAAGGTCGTTCCCCCCTCCACAGTGGAGCACTCCACAGTCCAGGGGAAACCGTCCAGGATGGCAGCCCAACCCACACCCTCCAGCTCCACCAGCCTTTCAAATGGAACTTTTGTTCATTCACAAAAAAGGCTGAGCTCCCAGGACGACTTTTTCTTTCTTTCTTACCTTCTGCTGAGACTGTGCAAAATAGACTTCGGCGAACTTCAGCACCAGGACATAATCGCCCTCTTCCTTGATCGGGACCTCGTAGCCAAAGGTTTCCTCGTTGTAGCGTTCCGTCTGGTAGAGAATTTGATCCTCGGGGTTGGAGCGCAAGATGGGCAATTTCATGCCATAATCGGAAGCTGCAATTCCAATAAATACATACCGTATTTTTCGGACTATAAGACGCACTTCCCCCGTGCCCCCAAAAGTGGGTGAAAATGTCTGTGTGTCTTATAGAGCGAAAAATGCGCGTGGGTAAGGAGGGTTGGTGCGGCGATCAGCTGCTCTAGGTGGCGGGGATCGCCCCTGCCTATTGGCACCACCCGTTCACAGCAATCAGCGGCGAATGGGCTGATTTTTTTTCTTGCTTTCCTCCTCTAAAGCTAATGTGCGTCTTATTGTCCGAAAAATACAGTAATTTTTATAAGCATAAGGCAAGTTTACCTTAGCCCATGGGAAGGTGGCACCAAACATTTAAGTGTTTAGCTTCTCCTTCCCTCCCCTTCTTCTTCCCCCAGACCTTAAGGCACGGGGTGTCCAACCTTTTGGCTTGCCTGGGCCGCATTAAGTGTCTTGGACCACATATAGGATAAACTATGCAGTATAGTTAATGTATATAAATAACTAATTTCCTGTTTTAATCTTTGATACAATCTTGTGGAGCTGCATTAACTAGCTGCTCAGGGCTTCATACCACCTGTAGATTGGACAGACCTGCAAAGCTTAAGGAAAGAATTCCCTGATCAAATCTCTCTCTCTCTCTCTCTCTCTCTCTCTCTCTCTCTCTCTCTCTCTCTCTCTCTCTCTCTCTCTCTCTCTCTCTCTCTCTCTCACACACACACACACACACACACACACACAGGCTACAAACACACAGAGCTAACTTGAAAGACATCTGCAGGCTCAAACCAAGCGGGTCACAAGGTATCCCAAGAGTTCTGCCAGTGACATTGGCTCAAGATCTACTGGCCTATTTCCCAGTGACATGTGGCAGGTCAACAAGGACTTCCTACTTTCAGTAGCTTAACAAAAACAGTGGAGCATTTTCTTCCCTGTTAAATTAAGCTGCTAAATTAGGAACTCTTTGACAAAACCAGGAAGCAATTGGTGGGGAGGGAGCTTCAAACTCTGGAACAGTACAGAAAAGAAAGTCCCGTGCGGAGCACGTCTTTAGCTGCATCCCTCTCAGGGACGCTCGGTCCACTTTCCCCCCAGAATCCACTCGGTGGATCTCGGGACGGTAACTAAGAAATAAAAAGCTTTCAGGTCTGCTCAATATTGGGATCTCATTTCTGGAGAGAAACTGACACAGCTGTGCTTGCTTCTCTCTGCAATGCAAGCTGTTACATCTTTCAGGTTACAAAACTAAGATCTTGAATTGGTGATATAGGCTGTCCTTGTGTTAAGACCAGTCACTTAGTAACTGTTCAGATGAGCATCCCTAGAGCTACTTGCAACCCAGATGTGAAGTTCTGGCACCCTCCCTGCAGTCACGTGATGATATTCTGGGTGCTCATCCCCTGCATTCACAGCTGCTTGGGGAATCCCATGGTCACGTCACTGCGGTTTAGTTTTTTTGCTGAAACCCAGCATTATTTCTGGTTTCCAGCAAGCAAAGTCCATTGTAGAAATGGATTTGCTTAATATGCATGGGGTTCACTTAATGACTGCAATGATTCTCTTAATGACTGCTGCAAAAAAGATCGTAAAATTGGGCATAGTCACACAGTGACCCAATGATTGGCACGACTTATGACTGTAATTCATAAGGTCATAAATCAAGTACTACCCGTTTATTAGTAGCAGACTACTATATATTTTCAAACCACTTTGATGCTATAATTCTCTTTATTGGGTTATTTTCATTTTAAGTGTTTATGTGATGTTTTCTTATGGTTTATGCATTCCATGGTTTAAATTCTGAGATGAGAACTTCTCAAGAGTTCTTTGACAGATGGGCAGAGCAGATCCGCAAGGAAGTCGTGCCATTTTACACAGCTGACTTCTCATGTGTCCTTGGGGTAGCTCTCCTCCCTCTTTTGTTCTGCATGTAGGAGGGTGGGAGGACAAAGGAACCACAAAATAACAAAAGGAACGTCAGCCACCCCTAGCCCAGAAGAAAATGCTTGAAGAACTAGGCTGTGTAAAGGTTATGACTTGATGTCAAAATGTCTAACCTCAGCATTATGACAGCCAAGCAGAAGCCTTCATTCTGCTATTTTTGGCATAAAACCCCCTGTAATTCCTGTGAGAAATGATAAGTACGTTCAGTATCTCAATGACAGAAGTTGTGTCCCAAATCATTCCACATATGCCCCCATCTGGGATGCTTAGTTCTCCTCCCCGAAAGAGCCCAAAGTCATGGCAAAATTTGAGCAGGCTCGAACCAAAGCTTGAGTTCCTGTGTGTAAATCCTTAAGCACGCCCTTTCCAGAAACAGGGCTTTTTCCAGCTAGCAAAGCCAGGAGGGAAGCTGGATTCACTTAATAAATGCACAAACAGGGCAAAAAAAGAAAGTTTGGAAAACCAGTCACAACTCACTTAACAGCTTTGCTGCTTAGCAATGGGAATGCTGGTCCCAACTGTGGTTATAAGCTGAGGACTAGCTGCGTGGCTAGATCATGGGAGTGTCATTTGGAGAGGCCTGTCAGAGCTTCTCATTCGCTAGCTATGAGCCTGCCATGGGAGGAAGCCGAATGGGACGGGGGAAGGTTACAGACTCATCATACCTTCCAGAGACACCATCTCAAGGTCTAAGCCTGCGAATGGAATGCAATATCTTACCAACCAGCCCATCATTGAAGAGATTGTTTGAATTTTAAATATAATTGGACAATAGGGGCCAGGGGAGGCGAGGAACTGGATGGGGAAAGTTAACTGGGAAATTTTAGCCCGCAAACTTCAGTTCTGGCTTTGCTATACTGTAATCCACTTGGCTTTTAGTAAAAGTATACCTTTCACTATAAATGGAGTCGAGGGTCTTTCTTAACTAAAGGACCAAGTCGGGGTAGGTCTGACAGGCACTATGTGTGGGAAAACCTGTTTTAATTTACCTGTAGAACCTGGATACACTCACTTGGGGCAAAATGTGTTATCCAGCTTGGAAGTCATTCAGATTCAGGGAAAGAAAACTTTACTCCCAGGCACTAAGAAGAGAAGTTATTCCAGACTGAAGTCAGTGCACTCCTGCCCTGATTCTAGCTTCATCTACCAAACACAAGCAGCACAATCCCAGACTCCAATGGAAGTGCAAATGGCTGATGAGCATCTTTATTTTAAGTATGGCCACAGTACGTTCATGTGATTACAATATCAGCTGATAACAGAGCATTTCCAATTAACCACAAAGCTAATTTATCTTTTGATCTACAAAGCCACTCTTCCTTCTCACACACACGTCTCTTGTCTCTTCAAAAACAATGCAGCTTTTATGAGACATGGGTATGTTCATCCAAAAGCAACAGCAGGTTTATATTTATATTTAAGCATCAATTATCGACAGCTTTAACACTCATCATTGAAGGCTCACTCACCCACAGTAGAGCATGCAACATTCTCTAATCAAGACTTGCAAAACTGGATTTGAAGAATAAATTAGTAGGAGTTGAGCTTAAGACGCCGCCTGGACCTTCCTTGAGCCAAAATTCTCAATACTGCAGCACGCTACAGATTAAAACAAAGTCTGTTGCAAGCTTAAAGTTCCCAGTAGGAGAAATGGTTAGTCTACTCATTTGGCAGATTCAGCGCTGGGATCCTCCTATGAACCTGAGGGCCCCGAGTCTGCCTGGCTTTTGCAATGAGAGGAATTGCAGATTCCCAGCGCACTTGCCAAGACTCAGAAAAATCCGCCTAGAAACTTTTGCAAAGAAGTGACTCTGGGAATATCTGAAAGCAGGTGCGATTCTGTACCCATAATGCAGAAAGACCTCTAAACAAGGATGAAATCTAATGGAGGAGGAAGCTGATGTAAACCATTACCAAGTAATGAAAGCTACCTGCTTGGTTGAAGATGACCTCTTCATCCAGTAGCTTACAGCCAACCCATTAAAACAATTCATAACACCATAAAGATTAAACAACTTTTGTTGAATGTTTGGATTTGAATTGTAGAGTTCCTAAGGTATGACCTACACTTACTTTTAAAACAAGGGGAGGAAGAGACGACACGCTCACCAGTTTACAGAGTGCAGGATATGGGAGGCAACTGTCCCCCTCCCCTCCTCTGACCTGCTTAGGCCCCCCTTGGAATTCTGTGTCCAATTCTGGCCCCACCATCCAAGCGGGACGTTGACAGACTGCAGTGCGCTCAGAGGACGGCCATCAACGCAGGGAAGGCTCTGGAAACCAAATCTGGCAAAGACTGGATGAAGGAAGGGGGTATATTTAGAGTGCAGCACAGGGGCTGCGGAGAGTTAGGAAAGCTCTTCAGAGGTCTAAGACCAGAGCCAACAGCCAGGAACTACAAGGAAACAGATTCGGGTTAGACAGGATGGTGGACGAGGTAAGAGAGGAAGAAGCTGCCTGATGAAATGGTGTCTTCCTTTCGGTGAAAGGTGTTCAAACCGAGGCTGTATTGGATCTGTCTCAAATGCGGTAGCAGATCCTCCACCATGCAGGATTTAAACTAGAGATCCATTCTGGGGAGGAAGTTAGAAAAGAAAGGATTCAAGATGCAAAGAATTAACATAGAAAACACAACCTTGTGTTCAGAACATAAGATAATTTATTCTAGGAAAAATGAATATAGGAAATATTAATGACTGTGAAATACACACACACATGCACACAGAGTCAACTGGCCCCCTCAGTCATCTAGCAAAGAAAGACTGCTGGCTATTTGTTCTTGCTAAGAGTATACTTTACTGAAGCTTACGTGGTTATAGAAATAGCGAAGCTGAAGCTGAGATTTTCCTGTGCAAACAATACAAAGTAAATATTCCTCTCCCACCCCCACCCATCCGCCACCCCCCCCCCGTTATCTGCAAGTGTCCAATCAGGCGCTTGTATATTGTTCAGGAAACAGGTTCTCGGTTCCCAGCTCTGCTTATTGATAGTTGAGCTTGACTGGCTGGAGCTTCTCAGCTGGGCTTCCATTCCCCCCTTCTTCTTCCAATCTTTCTCTCTGTTGCTAATGTCCAGCTGTCAGCTCATAAAGTTTGGATAGGAGAGATACAGCCATGACACACACACAGATTTATATGGCCACCAACTTCCACAGTGTGACATTAAAAGTGAAGAGTATAAAAACCCACCCCACCCCGTTATTATATATTATTTTAGATTTAGATTATAATACATATAATCTTTTTAGATTATAACACATCAGCTGGTCAGGATACAATTATAAAGTCCTCTTCTTCTCCCAACTAAATAGTGCTCTGAAACAGGTTGAGAAGACTGCTTTAATTTATAGTTTAAATACATTTTACTGTAAAATAATGTAATATACATGGGACCAAGCCTACCTCAGCACCAAGTTATTATTTCTGGCTTTTAATTTGGAATCCAATGCAGAATGCCCGCCCACCACCCCCAAGTCCCTACTATGTGCATAGCTCGAGCCTCAGGTTGGAGCTTTGCCTGGCCTTCCTCTCCAGAAAAGCCTTGGCAAGCCCCCATCTCCAGCTCAGGAGTACCTGAGAGAGAAATGGACCCGAACGGCCCCAAAGCCATCTCTTTATTGGGACAGAGCTGGCACTGCCACAAGCAGCCTTCCCTCCCACCTGGTGGCATCTGGGGAAAAGTGATCCACCCTTGGCCTGAGTGCAGCCCCTTCCGCTCCTCCTGGGCAGCGCATGGACGGTCATTACACAACAGTGCTGAAGAGTTGCCATTTTTTCCCCAATGTTACTTTTACTACTCCAGATCACAAACCAGAGAAAAGTAGAATAGAAATGCAGGAAACAAAGCAACCGAAAATTATCTTTCCTCACAGCTAGAATCCCAGAAAACTCACTGGACTTCCAAACCTTAATGCTAAAATGAGGCAGAGAGTGGGAAGCAGACCAAGGGCCTGCACAGAGCTGCAGCAGTCAGCTGGGGAAAAGCCGTATTCACTTGGGAAGAGGCAACTGGGCCATATCCATGGACTGTCCAGTATACAACCAGCCAAACTCCTTCAGGGTTTGATTGAGAAAAGACAGAGACTGCATTTTTTTTTTTTAAATTTGATTTATATGCCGCCCTTCTCCAAAGACTCAGGGCGGCTTACAATGTGCTCAGCAATAGCCTTCATACTTTTGTATATTTTATACAAAGTCAGTTTATTGCCCCCACAATCTGGGTCCTCATTTTACCTACCTTAGAAAGGATGGAAGGCTGAGTCAACCTTGAGCCTGGTGAGATTTGAACTTGCAGTAATTGCAGGCCAGCTGATGTTAATAACAGTGCTTTAGTCTGCTGCTCTACCAGGGCTCTACTTTAGTCTGCTGCGCTAACAGGGAATTAAAGAGAAACTTCCTAACAGTGAGGACAATTTTTTTTTTTTTAATTTGATTTATATGCCGCCCTTCTCCGGAGACTCAGGGCGGCTTACAGTGCGTTAAGCAATAGCCTTCATACTTTTGCATATTTATACAAAGTCAGCTTATTGCCCCCACAAACTGGGTCCTCATTTCACCTACCTTAGAAAGGATGGAAGGCTGAGTCAACCTTGAGCCTTGGCGAGATTCGAACCCTGCAGTAATTGCAGGCAGCTGGTCTTAATAACCAGCTTAATAACAGGGTGCCTTAAACCCCTGTACTACCAAGGCTCTTCTGTGCATGCATGCACAGTCCAACTGCCTGCAGTCAGAATATTGCAGCAAGCTTAAGCCTGAAATACTTTTTATAGTCTTGTGGCAAAGTCCAGGTTTTGCAAGCCAACGTTTCCCAACCTGGTAACTTTCAACCCATTTGATTACAGCTAACATAGAGAAGACAATCTAAATACTTGTGCAAGAGCTGAATATTGGAAGAATCTTTGTTTTGACATCAAAGGGCAATTTGTAAATATGATGGCAACACAGAAAATGTGTGAAATGGAGGTTTGTTTTAATATATGTCACATATTGATTTTGAATGAAAAATCTGGAAGTTGCTTAGTGTAATTAAATCTGATGATAGCTCAGTTACATGGTCAGAAAATGTCTGCAGTATGATCATGGGGGCAAGATCAGAGAATCAAAATGTTAAAGGAGCCTAAGACCATCGAATCCAACTTCCTATCCAGGACAGGAATCCAAATTAATACATCCCAAAAGACTAACTCTTGTCTTCAGAGAAAGGAAGCCCACCATCTTTCTTGGAGTTAGTTTTCCTGTTGAACTGTTACTTATGAGAATTTTTTTCTAAAATAATTCTTCCACATTCTTCCTACAGTTTAAATCCATTATTTCATGTCCCAGACCCTGATAAGACAAGATTGTGACCATCCTCCAGTTTGGCCTAGTCAAGTCAGTTTGGTGTAACGGTGAAGGCTTCAGGCTACAAAGCAGGAGACCGTGACTTCAAGTCCCGCCTCAGCCATGAAAGCTGGGTGGGTGACTCTGGGCCAATCCTTCTCTCTCAACCCAACCCACCTCACAGGGTTGTTGTTGTGGTTGTGGTTGTTGTGGGGAAAATAGGGGAGGAAGGAATGTTGGATATATTTGCCCCCTTGAGTTATTTGTAAAAATATTAAAGGCAGGATACCAACCAACCAATAAGACATGATTACAGGTATTTGAAGAGGGCTCCACCTTTAGTCTTCCCTTCTGAAAGTTAATCCTCCAAATTCCTTCAATCTCTCATCATGGGAACTGTTCGTTTATTTTCAGACTATTTCTCTAAGGTACCATGAAAGTTTTAAATTTTGCTTTTATCTTTTAGGATGTCCACTATCCCAATTATGTCTGTCAACCGTAAATCTGTTAAGCATTTGTCTTCGCTTTGCAAATAGTTAATAAACTGTCGTTTTACAGACTACAGAGCTCAGGGCTGAAACTTCTGGCAGCTCATGCCACTGAAAGAATCTTCAGTTTATGCAGCAAAATCATATTCCATATCTATAAACTGCCCCAGAAGATGACAGACATTACTGAAGATTATGATCTGTTTTGCAAAACCACACAATCTACTAAGGCTTTACTCATCAAGCCTTCTTCCCCTAGCAGTGAAAGTACTACTGGACATGTGAAAGCAGGAACTGCAGCGTTGTGTCGAAGTGCTGTGTCCTTCCAATATAATCCTCTAGAATTCAAGCTGCTTAAAGATTAACAGGCCTGGAAATGAGAATGGGGAAGAAGCTGAGAGAGTCGAGCTAAACTTAGAAAACTATTGGAACCACCGGAGCACAAAGTGATGAAACTGTCAAGCAACTTTGCAATGGCTTAACATTTTCCACTTCCCACCAGCCCAGTTCTGGGACACTAAAAAACAGCACAGCACAGAAGGAAAAAAAAAAACCCAAGAAATGTAGAAAGAACAGGAAGCAAAAATTATTGCAGCATTTTATAAGACAAGGAGGTAGAAGAGAAGCAGCTTCTGGTTTACTCCAACCACAAACAGCTCCCTAAAGAGGCACCTGGAATTGGTGTGGTTATTTCTTTGAGCAGACACCACATCTATCTATCTCCATCAGAGCTGCATGCATGAGGGGCTGCCCCCCCCACCATCTGATGTGAATCAAAAGGAGAACAGGCCATATGCTCAAGTTCCTCACATTTGCAGTTTACCATTCATACAAGGAAAGCAGATTATAATGACTTGTCAAAAGAATTCAGAAACTCTGGTTTGTCACTGAAGCCCCAAAATCCAGCCACAATAAGCCAATACAGAGAGGGAGAGGAGGAGGAAAGAGAGATGACAAGAATAACTGTAGAAATCAAGATGTTGGGAAATGGTGAAAAAAGGAGAAGCAGATCATGGAGGGCAGCTCTGAAGAAAGAGAACAGGCCACTGCAGGGAAGCCCAGCAAGGTCAGAAAGGCTGGTCTATCCCTCATCTTCCCTTCGCTGCTTAAATTTCTGCTTGCATGCAGAGGGTGCAATGGAATTCACACCAAGGCAGAAGTCAGAAGCGTCATGTGAGATCAGGCCATGACTTCCCCAGAGCAGAAGCAGGGATATGAAGGGCAGAATCCACAAAAGGGGGAAAAAAGTGGGCTGGGAGCTCCCCTGTGCATAGGAGTTGTGCTCCAACACACCTGGAAGCCCCAAAGCTGGATGTTCCAGGTAATGAGAACTGCATTACTCCTGGCCAACAACATCTACGTAGTGCCTTGGACTCAAAGTCTACGCACGTGGGCGATCAGTGCTCTTTCCACCCTCTTTCGCACCAGGATCCGTACAGCATCTGCAGTTTGGGCTGAGGGGCTAATCCTGCACTGCCTCTGCCCAGCATTTCTCTGGAAGCATGCCCACCTTAATAATGGGACGGCCGCCTTTGTCCAGGGGTGCAGAGCCCGAGGGACACCCCCTCTGGAGCAGCGAAAAGGGAAGGGCACGCTTTCAAGTTTACTTTCTGTGGCAGCTGCCACTGGACCACAACGTGGAAGGCAACCACTGCGTCGCCCCCTTTGCCCAGCTTGGCGGAAGGTAGGGCAGCAGGGCAGCTGCTCCCTGGTGAGCCCCCCCACTCCGTCCCATTGACAAGCAGCGCTGTCAAACTCAGAGCACGACCCTCCCCCTATTTCTGGGAGACCCAGCAGATGCCAAGGACTCTCCCCCGGGAGGGGGGCACATCCTTCTCCCCTCCAGGCCTCTGCAGTCTCAGGCGAAGAGGGCAGCATCGCAGGAGGCCCAGATAGGCTGCCTCGACACATGGCAGATCCATCGCCCTATCACCCAACCAGCCAGTCCGGCGGCTCTCCTCGCCCTACGCCAAGCCCCCCCCCCCCCGGTACCCACGCCCCCCCCCCCCCCCGGTTGCAGACGCGCCCCCCACCCCCACCCCAGATGCAGAAGCGCCCCCCTCTCCCCCTCAGGTGCAGGAGTCCCCCCACCCCTTCCCCAGGTGCAGAAGCCGCTGGCGTGGGGGTTCCGGCGAGCTCACCTCGTCCCACCCGTCCCTCGAGGGGGTCCTTCCGGAAGTGGATGCCGTGGACGTCCACATGGGCCTCCCCGCCGGCGTTGACGGCCCAGACCACGTTCTCGGCCAGGCTGGCCCCGGCCACGCTGCCAGGCGGCGGCTGCGACACCAGCAGCGCCAGCAGCGCCGCGGCCAAGAGCGAGGCGACGCGGAGCTGCGGCCCCCCGGCCGCGGCCACCATCTCCGGCTCCTTCCGCGCTGCCGCCTCAGCTCGGCAACGGCTCCGCCCCGCCGCCGCTGCCGCCGCCGCCGCTGCCCCTCTCGCACATGCCTCCCGCCGCCTCAGCCGCAAGGGGGCATCCCACCGTGCTGGCCGTGCCGGCTACCCTGACGCCGGCCAATCGCCGCGCGGCTTCGCGGGGTCGCGCCGCCTCGTTGGCTGCCGGAATCCCGCTATTTGCATATCGGCACGGCCGCCGGCCCATAGGTGCGCGGAGAGGGGGATGGCAGCAAGGTACGTTGAGAGCGCAAGTGGACGAAGCCTATTGGGGGACTCTTTGGCCTATTGGCGACGCCTCCCGCCTTTCTGGGGGCAGAGCGTGGCCGTGGACCGTTCCACCGAGACCTGATGGGGGTGCGACTATTCGCTTCTCCCTGGGCGGCCTTTGCTCTCCGCGGCTTATTACCACAGAGAGAGCGGAAACGGAGGAACTGCGATGTCTGTGTTTTCCCTGGCAAAATGTTTTCCTACGTTTCCTCCCCCGGGTTATCCCCCGATCTAATGGTAGAGCCCAAAGCAGGCTGTCCAATTAGAAAGCTACAGCGCGGCTCCTGAGCGCGGTGGATTGTGGAGTCGTGCTGGCAGGAAACCGGAAGTTGATGCCCGGGTGCTCAAGAGGCCTGCGGTTGCCATGGCAGCGCGCGCCTGTCCTAGAGTAGCGGTCCCTTTGTGGGAACGGCGCTCCTGACTGAACCCGCGTTAACGTGGCATGCAAGCGAAGCATCTTATTGCTTCCCGTGACGCGGTAGCGGCTGTTCAGCCCACCTGTTTATTCGCAACCATTGATTGCCATTAAGTCTTAAAAAGCCGTGGAGTTTATTTAAAATAGGCATAAATGATGTGGAAAGCAATGTTTTTTCCAACTTGGCAACTTTAGGATGTAGGGAAGTCGACGTTTTGGGTGTGGTAATAGGTTATTGTTCATTGTGTGTCTGCACTTTGGCTAGAAATAAGAGCGTAATAAAGAGAATCACTATTGCTGCTGGCCCTTGCGCATGTGCAGAGTGCATTTTCTTAGCTCCTGCTTGACTCCCTGCTTTCTCCGCGTCTGGATTTCAGCGACTGCAACTGAGCACCAGCAGGCCGGGGACCTTGGGGGAATCCAGCCCTGGTGCTTGAAGGGGTCGTTTAAACACCATCTATTCGGGCTCATCGGGAATCCAAACTGAAGCATCCCTGAGGAACGGAGGAGTCCTTGGCTTGGTCATCAAACGGCTCTTGCTTATTGGAGCAATTCCTTTTTATAAGGTTCAAAAACCAGACTCCCTGATTTTGCCCTTTCAATTAGGGCCCCTGCGCAGCACCCTTCAGGCCTTTGAAGAAGGCTGTCAGAACTCGAGGGGTTTCACCAAAGCAGGACGGTGCATAATCTCTGGGGTTCAAAAATTGCACTTTTGATGAGGAGGCAGCCCAAAATGGCATCTGACTTTCTTTTACTGCCACATCACCTGACTGGCACAAACTCAAGAGTGCTGTTTACTGTTCCAAAGTCCTTTTCATGTGGGCTGTTATCAAGCCAGGGATCTCCCATCCCATAATTATGGGTTTGAATTGCTTCCTCTTTAAAGGTCGTTGCCTTTGCCACATTTATTATTTCCAGTCTAGATCTCTCTTCTGTCCTTTCTGTCATCTAAAGCAGGACTCTCCAAACTCGGCAACTTTTAAGACGTGTGGGCAACTATACAATTTTTTAATCATTCTCTCATCTGTTCCTGTGAGTATCTCATCCAATTCTGCCATCTCCAAAGAAAAACCTTATAACACTGCATCTTTTTCATATCTCGATTGTATTTGCAATTGTGTATACCACTCCATATCAATCCCTTGTTCACCATCAATTGCCCTCAATGGCAAGTAATACACGTCCAGTTGGAAAAATTGTCTTCCATTCCAAGCAGCAAGAACCAACCATGAGAAGGTTTGTGGTGATCACCCTCTCCTCACTTTCATGGAAGAAAGTGTGTGTGTGTGTGTGTGCATTCAAGAAGTATTCAAACGACCTTCACTTTTGTCAGTTTTGTTATGCTGCAGCCTGATTCTACAGTTGTTGAAATTATTTTTTTTCTCATTAATCTACATCAGTACCCCATAATGACAAAGTGAAAACATTTTGGAAATGTCTGTAATTTTTTTTTTAAAAAAAACTGAAATATCATATTGGTATAATTATTCAGACCCTTTGCTACTTGGAATTTTGCTCAGGTGCCTCCCATTTCTCTTAATCATTGCTGACATGTTTCTACACCTTGATAGAAGTCCACTTGTAAATTAAATTGGGCATGATTTGGAAAGGCACACACCTCTCTATTGAAGATCTCACCGCTGAAAATGCAAAACCCATGAGGTCAAAGGAAATGCCTGCAGAGCTCAGTGTTAGGATTATTGCAAGACACAGATCTGGGAAAGGCTACAATAAAATTGCTGCTGCACTGAAGGTTCCTAAGAACACAGTGACCTCCATAATTTTCAAGTGGAAGAAGAAGAACCTTAAGCACAAGCCAAAACAACACAGGAGTGGCTAAGGAAGAACTCTGTGAATGTCCTAGAGTGGCCCGGCCAAAGCCTGACCCTATTGAACCTGAAAATGGCTGTCCACCGACAGTTGCCATCTAACCTGATTGAGTTTGAGAGGATTTGCAAGGAAGAATGGCAGAAAATCCCCCAATCAAAGGTGAGCAAAGCTTGTTGCATCATAACCAAAAAGACTTGAGGCTGCAATTGCTGCCAAAGATGCTTCAACAAAGTACTGCGTGAAGGGTCTGAATACTTATGCCAATGTGATATTTCATTTTTTTTCTTTCTAATACATTTACAGACATTTCTAAAATTCTGTTTTTGTCAGCATGGGGTAGTGAGTGTAGATTAATGAGAAAAAAATGAATTTCAATCAGGCTGCAGCATAACAAAAGTGAAGGGATCTCAATACTTTCTGAATGCACTATTACAATATATAACATAAAATATTGCATTAAGATAAAACCATGATAAAATCACCATAATGTAGCACCATAGAATCGAATAGGATAGATGCTATAATTTGATATCCTAAGGAAGCTAACCATCCAGATGCTTCTTGTGTGGTTGCAAAGAGGTCGCCTCCAGGTGCCTTGAAATATCCTGAGAGGACATTTGCAAACTATATATGTTGTTGTTTGTTCCAATGCACCAGGTGTGTTGCAGGCTTAAATTCTTAAAAGAATTCTTAAAAGAATTTTGTCTTAGTTCCGGCCTGGCCTGGCCTGATTCTATTCAGGTTGGGTCCATATTTTGGGGGGCAGCAGCCTTCCTGGAAGTGGTATTTTTGAATCTGCATGATCTATTTGGTTATAGTTATTAAAAAGGCCAACCCATTATAATCGCCCTTGTTCATCTAGATCAGGGGTCTCCAAACTTGGCAATTTTTAAGATTTGTGGACATGCTGGCTGAGGAATTCTGGGAGTTAAAAGACCACAGGTCTTTAACTCCAAGAGTTTGGAGACCCCTGAGCTAGATCATACTGTATATTATCCCAAATTGGTTTCCTAGACATAAGCCTGGTGCAAAGTAGAGAGTCTAATATTTTATGTATCAGTAGATCGCTAGGATTCGATGGCCTATTGATCTTATTCTACTTTCAAGCTGTCTGTTTTTGTCACCTGAGATCAGGAAGAGGCAGTGTTAGAAAGAACATGGAGCCATGAGAGTGGTATGGATTTGAGGATTCAGATATTGTTCTCATTGTGTCATTAGTCTTTTGAACTAACAGATCCTGAAGAGAATGGCAGTGTCAAAGGAGAGCCATCTTCAGAGCTGTGTTAAAGCTATTCAGTCCATTCTTTCATGGTTTCTTCAAACAGAAGCAGCTTCTGGATACTTCTAAGGACACCAAAGACCCTCCAAAGATGTGACTCTCTTACACGAGGGCTCTCCTCTCCCTCTGTACTTTTCAGGAGACCTTGACAACTTGGCGCAAGCTGAGGCAGTCTTTCGTCTCTGGCAGGTTTTCTTCAGATGCATCTCTTTGGCATTTAAACAGCAAACGTCCCTTCCAATTCTGTTATTCTGGGATTTTTTTGGTAGCATCTAAAAGCTGAGTGCCCCATTAAAGAAAAGAATATAAGTACCTTCATTTCCACATGGAGAACTTTGTGCTTGAGGTGGAAAAGAATGAAACTTTGATTTTGGGTTTTACCTATTAGATTGATAGGTCCTTATAGAAATGGCTAGTTTACTGTATATTACTATGAAAAAAAGTCATGGTTTGATGTCAATGCTTTATTTTAACTGCAATGGAGGGAGCCGGAAGTCAACACTTTTTTCTTTTTCCCAAACCCTTCCTCACTTTTCTTCTCCCCCCACCCTTTTCCCCTCACTGCTTTCCTATTTACTTTTGTATTTTGTATTATAACCAATGGTGAAATCCAAATTTTTTTACTACCGGTTCTGTGGGCGTGGCTTTGTGGGCGTGGCAGGCGAAGGATACTGCAAAATCTCCATTCCCTCCCCACTCCTGGGAGCAGCCAGAGGTGGTATTTGCCGGTTCTCCGAACTACTCAAAATTTCTGCTACCGGTTCTTCAGAACCTGTCAGAACCTGCTTATAACTCAATAAAGTGTTAAAACTCTGATAAAAGCTGAGTGCCCCAGTTAAAGTGCTCTGAGCAGTCAAGACGTATTCATGAAGGCAGTTAGGCAGTTAGATAGAGGCACTAGGTGGAGCTGTTCACCTACAAGAATCGCGCTCAGAATTCCTCCCCTTGCAGATTTTAAACCCACCTCATCATTACAGAAGCTGAAGGGACTACGGACACCACTACTCCCTAGCTAGCCCCAACCCAGCGCTTAGTGCAAGGCCTGCAAATTCATACAGTATATATAGAGTATATATATATAGCATACATATAGAGCCTCCTGAGGTAGAAGATCTACCGTATCCTCTCATTCCACCAAAGGAGAGCCTTCCCAAGAGATCTGTCTTTTCTCTCCCTCTCTCTGTCCCCCTCCCTCTCCCCTTACTTTCTCCAATCTAAGAGCTTTTTAAAAAAACCTGGACAATCATTTGACTGGGATGG